TGATCATTTCGCCTCTGCCTCCTGAGTAAGTAGGACTACAGGCTTGTGCCACCATGCCTAGCTAATTTTTTATGTTTTGTAGAGACAAGGTCTCACTGTGTTTCCCAGCTGGTCTGGAACTCCTGGACTCAAGCAGTCCTTCTACTTTGCTCTCCTAAAGTACTGAGATTACACGTGTGAGCCACTGCACCCGGCCTGTTGTAGATTTTCTTTTTTATCATCAAATTGTCTGTGTGTAAAGACAGTTTTACTTTTCCTTTCTAACCTGTATGCCTTTTATTTCCTTTTCTTGCATTGTTGCACTGACTGAAACCTCCAGTACAATGTTGAGTAGAAGTGGTGAGAGCAGACCACCATCCTTGCCTTATTCCCAATCTTGGTAGGAAAGCATTCAGTTTTATGTCATTAAGTAAAATGTTAGCTGAAGTTTTTTCATAGATGCTCTTCTTTGGCTTGATAAAGTTCCCTATAGTTTGCTGAGAATTTTTTTTTTAATTGGGAATGGTTGTTGGATCTTTCAACAGCTTTTTCTGCATCTTTTGAGATGATCTGTGATTTTTCTTTTTTAGTCTGAAACATGACTAACATTGATTTATTTTATTTTTTTTCTAATCTTAAATCAGTCTTGCATTCCTTTGATGAGCCTCACTTTGTCGTGATGTCTGTTTTATATTTGTTGGATTCAGTTTGCTAAAATTTATTGTGCTTGCATCTATATTTATGAGAGATATTGGTGTGTCATTTTCTTTTTCTTTTCTTTCTTTTTTTTTTTTTTGAGTTGGCGTCTCACTCTGCACTCTGTCGCCCATACTGGAGTACAGTGGCACGTTTCTGGCCACCTCGGCTTCCCAAAGTGCTGGGATTACAGACCGAGCTACCGAGCCCGGCCTGTAGTTTTCTTATAATGGCGTTTTTTTTCTGGTTTTGGTATCAGAATGCTAACTTCATAGATTAAATTTTTTACTTCAAATCTAGTATATTTTCTGCTGTAGTACTGAAGTAACCCAAGAAACAGAAACAGTGAGTTATGTACCAACATGTTAAAGGTAGTTGGATAATGTAGACAGGCTTCTCAGATGCATTTGTATTTGAATTGGTGGTGCCCCGATCAGTATGTCCAATTGTTGTAATGCTTGTATTGAGGCTAAATACTTGTTATATGGATATCAAGTCATAAAATGTACGAGTTAGAAAAGAGGTGGTAGAAGCCATCTACTGTGAGCAAGTGTTGAAGAAATACTTAAACATAGTGGCAAACAAAAAATATTTCCTAAGGCTCTCCTTACCTATAAGGACTCACTGTTTATTACCCTAAAAAAATTCTTTCCCGTTAGCATTCCAGAGCAACCTATCTTAGACTGCCTTTTCTCCTTCCCTATGGTTACCACAGATTTCCTAAAAGGCCAGTCTGGAAACAAAGATTGAATAAGTAATAGCCACATTCTTGGTTTATGTCTGAGACTGAGAAGTTGGTAGATCTTGGACATTGAGAACTGACAGGCAGTGCTGTTCCAACTGGTGCATGTTCTGGACAAGGGAGGCATTCCACATGGGGTGGGTCCTCTCTTCTTTCCACTGCCTGCGGTCATTCTCTCTGGTCCGTGAACAGTGACCATGAGACTGGGGAGGAACCTGTGTTTGAGTTGAGTTCCAGGACTTTCACCAGCATGTTAGACCCTCTTAGCTGCGAAATTTAATTTTAAAATGAGACCTTAATGTGGAAGCTCAATATAGAAAATAGATATCAGCTTGATTCTGTTAGTATAAACATACTTTGAAAATTCAGTATTTTAACCCAAGTTTAATGAGAGCAGTAAAGTTGTGATGAACACACATCCGGTATCAATGGGTATAAATAACAGTCAGTTTTTCTGGTTATCAGTGTGGAGAAAAATCCTGACTTCACCAGTGAGTTAGCCCCATGTGATATTTTTTTTTTTAATAGCTCACCTTGCAATCTCAGGGTGTTCTTCAAGTAAATTCATCCAGAACTTGAACATAAAGGAGCAGGAGTTGGTTCCACAGTTTAATCACTAACAATTTCTAATAAACTCCTCATATTTTTTATCACATGTAGAAAAGTTAGACAAGAAAAGGGGAAAATTGTCAGGTGTGGTGGTTCACGCCTGTAATCCCAGCACTTTGGGAGGTGGAAGCCAGAGGATTGCCTGAGCCCAGGGGTTCAAGACCAGCCTGGGCGACTTGGTGAGACCTTGTCTCTACAGTAAATTGAAAAAAATTTTAACTGGGCATGGTGGTACATGCCTCTAGTTCCAGCTACTTGGAAGGCTGAGGGGAAGGATCAAGGCTGCAGTGGCTGTGAGTGTGCTACTGCACTCCAACCTGGGCAACAGAGCGAGACTCCAACTCAAAAAAGAAAAGGCAGGCAGGTGGGGGGATTTTAAATAAATGCTAACCAGTTGGTAATTTCTTTTTGAGGCCAGTTATGGGTTCCTTTATTGACTGTTGCTGAGTCCGCAGAGAGGAGCGTGTGCCCTCCTTCCCCTGCCACGTGTGTGCCTGTGACACTCGCTGCTGTGGTGCCTTGACTTGCGCCACTTTTGGCGAGCAGATAAGTGCTGGCTGAGTGGGGATGTCGAGAAGGGAGGTCGCGCAAGAGACCCGTGCGGCGTGATAGACATTCCTGATCAATGATGAATTTCATTCTGTCCAAATACATAATGCCAGTAGCAGGAGGAACTTGATTCTGAGGTTTGCATGAAGATGAGTTCGCTTGACTGTGGTAGCTCCAGGGTGCTGGTAGTTGGTACAGAACTCATTTGACTCTGTGCGTTTTTTATTATAGTTAATGTTATTTTTACTTTTTTATTTAGTTTGAGTCAGGATCTCACTCTTTCACCCAGACTGGAGTGAGTGGCATAATTCTAGCTCACTGTAAACTCAACCTCCTGGGCTCAGGTGATCCTCACACTTCAGCCTCCCAAGTAGCTGGGACTATCAATGTGCATCACCATGCCCGGCTAGTTTTTGACTTTTTGTAAAGATGAGGTCTCATTGTGCTGCCCGGGCTGGTCTTGAACTCCTGGGCTCAAACAGTCCTCCTGCCTTGGCCTCCCAAAGTGCTGGGATTATAGGCGTGAGCCACTGCACCTGTCCAAGTATCTTTTAAAAGATTCTTTTTTATTTTTATTTATTTTTTTAAAGACTATTTTTTGACAGGATATTCAAATTAAGTGCTTATGGAATTACTGAAGCTCTTCAGCAGGACCTGAGAGCTCTGTGGAACAGTTTGAAAGCCATTCTTATAGACCATGTGATTCTATGTAGGAATGCTTTCTTCAGCTTCTCTTCAATTTTTTTTTTTTTTTTTTGAGTTGGAGTCTCACTCCGTTGCCCAGGCTGCATGCAGTACAGTGGCACGCTCCCGGCCACCACAGCCTCGACCTGCTGGGCTCTGGTGATCCTTCTGCCTCAGCCTTCCAAGTAGCTGGAACTACAGGCGCGTGCTACCATGCCTGGCTAATTTTTGATTTATTGTAGAGACGCAGTCTCACCATATTGCCCAGCCTGGTCTGGAACCTACTTGCTCAGGCAGTCCACTCGCCTTGGCCTCCCAAAGTGCTGGGATTATAGGCTTGAGCCACTGTGCCTGGCCTCAATTCTTATTTGAAATTAGAGTTCTAGCAAATTAGGGGGAAATGTCTAGAACTTTATTACAAAGTGTTAAGGCTTACAAGTCTTACAGTAATTAAGAAAGCAATCAAAAGCAAAAACTAAAACAGAGTTTATCCCTCGCCCATATATATAAGACATATGTCTAATTCACAACATATTATGATATTTAAAATGTCTTTTAAAGCACTTGCTTATTTTTGACATTTCACATAATAATATATGAGTGTAAATTCATATTCACAGGCCTAACCTGGACCCAAAAACATTAAGTCCCAAAGGCGGGTCTTAAAATGGAATTACTGAGCTCATGTAACTCAGACACACTTATTAGTTATATGTCAAAGGAAGTCAGTGATACCTTTTAGCTTGTTGAACCACACACACATACACACACACACACACGGATGTAATGAAGACACAGTTTTCACCAAGACTGTTTCAGAAGAGGCCTTCCCTTCTCATGCAGCCAGCGTGGGCTTTCTCTCTCATATCTCCCCATTTCTCCCAATCAGTGTCTCCACAGGCTGCATTCAGCCTTTCTCTCCCTTTCTATTTATTAGAACCCAAATGTGTGATTGGAAGAGACCTTAGAGGTGCCTCAGTTCTACTTCAGCTTACGGAAGTTCAGAGTGAAGTGATCTTAACTAGCTGTGGCCTGAGTGTGTGTCCTTGTGTACCCAGATGTTACAAAGAAAAAAATCACAAAAGCAAATAGTTTTTAACTGCTCACTTTGGTTCTCGAATCTCTATATGGTCTTCTGTGTAATTTTAGACTTTGAACTACCAATGGGCAGAAGAGCATGGTACTGTTTGAGTGATGCTGCATAGGTGGAGATCTGCTCCTGCCGCGGTATTCCAAGGCATACAGCATGGCCAGACCCTGGCTGGGCCTGGAGGCTGGCAGACCCACATGGAAGTGGAAGGCGGCCCTGCTAGCTTGTGATCAGTCTCAATTTCTTCATCTGTAAAACAGGGAAATAGCACATACCAAGCTCCTGTGCATAGTATGATCTCAATAAAGTATAGCCAAATAAATATGTTGACTATAATGATGAAAAATGCAGGACAGATCTGTTTTTTTAAAAATGGCAGCTGAAAGTGAAAGAAGAGAAAAAGGGTGGTAATAGAGACCGTGTGGAAAATGGGAAACTCAAGCAGATAGGCTTGTATTTTGTTCATTTCAAATATTCTAAGGCACAGTCTTTTTTTCTAGTTTGATTAGTGTGTATCTTGCACTATTTTCGCCCATATTGAACTTAAACATTTTCTTTTATGATCGAGTTGTGTTTAAATTTTTGTGTCCCTTTTGTTTTTATTAATGTTACTGTTCTCTGAGTAATCACATGTTTTTATTTAATTTACAGGTGGCCGTTTGTTGCATCTGTTTTTTTGTTATTCTTCCTCTAAATCTTGTTGGTACAATACTTGGCCGAAATCTGTCAGGTCAGCCCAACTTTCCTTGTCGTGTCAATGCTGTGCCTCGTCCTATACCGGAGAAAAAATGGTAAAGAGAATGCTACATCTTATGTGATTATTTCACACACTGTATCAGTTTTTAAGGCTGTTGTGCACGTGTAACTTGAGAATTGACATGTGTTTATGAGGATGACAGTCTCAAGTTTGAGCTTAGCAATGTGCTCATCTTAATTTTTCCTTTAACATACATTGTTAGGAGTAGTAATAAATTACATCCTTACTTTACTTTCTGAATGCCATGTCAGATACAAATAATCAGATGCTTTCATAATACCCTAGTATGTAGAGGTGACTGGAAACTAAAGCTGCAATTTTATTAAGCCTGCAGGCCCAATGTGGCCTGCTGATTGTTTTTGTAAATAAAGTTTTATTGGAACTCAGCCATGCCCATTTGCTGACATATTATTTATGGCTACTTTTACACTACAGCATCAGGGATGACAGATCATTAGTTATGACAGAGATCATAACTGAGATATGCAAAACCTGAAATACTTGCTACCTTTTCAGCTAATTTATTATTCTAAACAGTATACATTTTTATAGCCATCTGCATCCTACTAATTGAGAGATGAATTCGGTGATACCAATTATAATTTACTGACTTATATTTTTATCTTCACTGTGGAATAGTATAGAGTCTCTCAGATACATGTCTGTCACCATTTATGCACAGAATGTGTTCATGAGGAACGTCCATGATCCAAGGTCAGTCCTGACAAAGGATACAGATACTGCTGTTTAACAGCTGAAGAGTTGCCCCTGTGGCCGTAGTGTAAACATAAGTATGTAGTTCATTTGACCAGTTGGCTTGGAAATTGTGGTTTGGGGTGGATCTTTATTTTGCGTTGGCTTTTATTTTTTCAAATTTAGAACATTACATGAGATGCCATTGATATCTTTATGTTTCAGATTTTTGCAATGCAAATTTGAACAAAATGTGAACTGATATATTTTCTCTTTTAAAATTAGTAAATTGAACATTAGTGCTGCTTTATGCTACTCTGCATTTGTTCTTTATTTTCCTAATTGTTAATAGCAGACAAAAATAGAGCAGTCTTACTGGACATTTATTACATTTTCTGTCTTATAAGAGCAGCTGCATTGTAGATGGTGTATATTCAGAATAAGGAGACATACACGCTCACATACACATGTCTTTGGCCCTAGATATTTTGCCTCATTATAGATATAACATATATTCAGGTACTTATACAGCGAGATACTGATGATGCTGTCTTTTCTAGCCATGGAGGCATCTAGACACTTACAGAAGTGAGGCTGAATGAAGTAGCCTCTCTCATCTAGAAGAGAGTGAGCTGTTCTTTCCTTAGATTAATGCTTATGAGAGCCTTTGGCTAGGACTTTTGTAGTCTGTTTAAAAAAAATTTTTTTTTCTAAATCGGAATTGAACTTTTAGTGCCTGTCAGGATCCTCATGGTCATCTTGTTTCTAGGGAGGCTAGGGTTAAAAGGAGGTCCGGGGGTGGCCTTCCTCACCAGAGATAGTTGCATGGAGACTTGTGTATGTCTTCATTTTGGGGTATGATCATCACATGAGGACCTAAATCGGAATACTAGGTCTGGCTCTTATTGACTGTGTCAGCTTGGGCGGATCACTGTTTACTTCTGGGAATCTTGACTTCCTAGAAAACAAGGCAAGACAACTAGATTGAATGATTTTTTTTTTTGAGTTGGAGTCTCTTGTCTCCTAGGCTCATGGCCACCACAACGTTGACCTGCTGGGCTCAGGCAATCCTTCCGCCTCAGCTTTCCAAGTAGCAGGAACTACAGATGCATGCCACCACGCCCAGATAGTTTTTGTGATTTGTTGTAGAGATGAGGTCTCACCAAGTTGCCCAGGCTGGTCTCGAATCCCCGGGCTCAGGTAATCCTCTCGCCTGGGCCTCCCAAAGTGCTGGGATTGCAGGCTGAGCCACCGCACCCAGCCTGAATGATTTTTAAGTTATTTTTTCAGCCCTCGAATGCTTTGATTTTCTTCTAGTTTTTTAGTTTGTTCATTCCCCCAAAGTTACTGGTTTAGTATCTTTTCTGTGCCAGATTCAATGCTAGGCAGTGGGAATACCTAGATGAATAGCTTCTTCCTGCCTGTGTGTATCATGTAGTGAGGTCTGATGTATCTCTCACACACACGTGCGGTTGGACAGTTACAGAGGAGTGTGGTAAGTGCTGCCGTGAAGCTATGGAAGAGTAGGGGAAGGACCTGTCTTTTCCTGGGAGATTCAGGGAAGGTTTTAGAGGGAGAACACTTGAGCCAGTGCTTTCAGGAAGTGAAGCAGGATGCAAGAGAAGGCATCCAGGTAGATAATTATTGATTGCAGTCAGCAAATATTTGTTGAGTGAATGAATGCTGTTTGAATCTGTTTTTTATTCTTTCTTTGGTCTTATAAAAATTCCTAATACCTGAATTGTGTAACTCATAGTTAAAGGAATACAGAGCCAAAGAGAGAGCAAAGAGACAGCAAGGCCACAGTTGGGGAAACATTCCTTCAACTGAGGGTCTCAGGAATTGTGCTTTCTTTCCCTTTGACCCCTGTGAGTAATGCCTGTAGTGTTCTCAGACGTTATTGAGGTGGGGTAGAACAGGAGTCAACACTTAGAGTCTTTCTTGAGTTTTGCCAGTGGCTATAATTTATATCCCCCAAATGCTTGTCTTAACCCTTAATGCTGAGAAGAGTATTGATTGTAACCTGTGACTGATTTGAACTCCCCTATGCATTGTGCTTCTCTTGATGTTGACTTCTTTTTACTGGTCTGTATCTATCCTTTAGAGATTTTTTTTTTTTAAGTATCAAGCATCTACTTTCTATTTTCAGGAGTTATATGATATAATATGAAAAACATATTCAAAGTTTACTCTTAATTTTAATATTTTCCAGGTTCATGGAGCCTGCAGTTATTGTTTGCCTGGGAGGAATTTTACCTTTTGGCTCAATCTTTATTGAAATGTAAGTTTTGATAATGTATTTACATTTTGAGGGATTTGATTGTAATAAGGGAGGTTAGGAGTTAGGTTACGTATAGAATCATCAGCTAGGAAAGTGTCTAAAGGAGTTAGTCTGTTAATTCCATGATTTCCAGAAAGGCGTCTACATAGGTTATATAAAGGTAGTTGCTCTGTTCTCACATACTAAGGTGAAGTTTATACTTGGTTGTATTCTATTCTTTACCCCCTCATCTAGCAGGAGCTAAAGCAATCACAGCATTAACATGCTTGATGTGAGGCATTATAGGTTTTTATTGTATTTTTTGTTATTGTTTTGTTTTTTTGAGTTGGAGTTTCACTGCGATGCCCAGACTGGAGTGCAGTGGCCGCTCCCAGCCACTGCAGCCTCGACCCGCTGAGCTCCAGCGATCCTTTCGCCTCAGCCTTTCGAGTAGCTGAAATTTTACAGGCGTGCACTACCACACCCAGCTGATTTTTGATTTATTGTGGAGATGAGGTCTTGCCAAGTTGCCCAGGCGGGTTTTGAACCCACGGGTTCAGGCAATCCACTCACCTCGGCCTCCCCAAGTGCGGGATTATAGGCTGAGCCACTGAGCCCGGCCTTTATTGTATTTTAAAAAATATTTCCAAGGGTCCAAGAAACTAGGTAAATGATTCCCTACCAGGCAGTCTGGGCCTGCCATCTTTTGATGCATCGTTATTGCTCAGTTCTTTTCGTGGAGGCCTGCAGGGTGCTGGGGAGCGGTGTGTGTTTGGGGTGGGAGGTATACCACTTTGGGCCCTCTTACCAGACTTCATACCTGCATCCTTTGTCAACATTGCAAAATATAAGCCTTTCTTTTCTCAATTCTGTCTCGATGTCCCTTGAGGGGAGTGGTTATTTTAGGCAAGACAGTTCTTTGTATGGAACTTTCTCAGGTGCTACAGTCCATACACCCTTGGCTCCTGCCTACCAAATGCCAGTCATTGTGACAACTCAAATCACCCTTACACATTTCCAGATGTCCCACTGCCAACTCTCTCCTGTATGGTAGGAATTGCCTTACCAGACGTGATGGGATTTGGTAATTGGTTAACCAAAAACATTGGCTCATGTAAAGGCTCATGTAAAGGAATTATAAAAAGAAATATGCATAATGTTCTACCTTGAAACAACAAAATGTACATCCTTTGCTGATTGGTTTTTTTAAAATTTAGAACCACAGTCTTTGATTTGTACTTACTGACTGGAGTTTGCCTCATTTTTCCTTTGATATTCATAGTGCAGCTTTTGTGTTACCCAGTCTTTCTAAAGTAAAGTGGAGGAAGAACCCAGGGTCCTGTCTGAAGCATTCTAAGTACAAAATCCTTCTAGAGTTGTATGTGTATCCCCCAGTGTTTTATACACCTAATTTTATAACTTTCTAAGGGACACATTTTATTGAATCTTTCCAAAACATTCAACATAATTTTTGTAGTAACCACACATTCTTTTTGCTTTCATAATTTATTGGTTGCTATAACATTTAATATAATTATTTACTCTAATTTTACTAACAAGTACTGTGACATCAGTAGATGTGGGCCAGCTCCCATTGTCACTTACCAGCTCCAAGTCTGCTGTGGGCATTAGTTTCTTCAAGAGGGATTGGAGTGTATGTCGCTGTGACTTGTGGTTTAATGAAGTCAGTTCAGCAACTCCTTCTTTAGTTCCAGTCGACACTGCTTTGTGTCCTCACCCTGACTTGTCCTGTGACTCCTTTTCCCCTCCCACCTGTCCCCAGTACTCTGGACTACACCTCTTCCTACCTCCTCAGGCATTGTGTTCTGCTAGGTAGTGTCTCTACTGGTTCTGCTCCTTCTCTTCTGTTTGGCCACCCTTATACCCCCTCTCCCTCCTGCTGGCCCAAGTGATCTTGTTCAGATGTTGGTCTGGTCACATCACTCCTTTGCTCAAGACTCCTTCTTCTTGCCAAGGTGAAGTCTTGGCTTCATGCGGTGGCCACTGAGAGTCTCCACAATGTGAGAACTGGCTCTGTTCACGTCTCCGGTCCTCTCTGAATTCTTGCCTCCTCGTTTAAAGTTCTGGCCCAACTGGAGCACTTGGAGTTTTTCAGAATGCAGGGAATGTCATTGCTTGCTCACCTTTGCCTCTGCTGTTCCCGTGCCTGGAACATTCTAGCTCCTCTCACCCTTCACATGCTTTACCTGATTCTTCTTCCCTCCTGCCCGTAGAAGGCCCATCCAGCCCAAATGGGAAGATGCCCCAGGTGTGCTGTGCCTTGGGTACGCTGGGGACAGCAGCGTCCCAGTGCGCCAGGTCCCCATCCCCGGAGCAGAGAGACATCGTCTTCACTATTCCGTTCACTCACTACTTTCCTGAGGTGCAGAGGGATCAGTAAACATTTGTTGAGAGAATGAATGATGAATAAATGAACTAACAAACCAAAGGGAGTAAGCAAAAAGAAAAGTGGCGAAAGGACTCTGTTAATGATGATTTGGTAACGGGTTTAGAGCAAAGGGTCTTGCTCCTAATGAAGAATTGTCACGCCCTTTCTCTCACTGTCCTTTGAAGACAGGCAGTCTTCTTTAGGCTTTCTTTTCCTCATTTGAGGTATTGTTGCTCTGTCAGATGTATATTTCTACTAAATGCAAAATACATTGCTTGAATGGTGTTATAGCTACAAAACAATGGAGGAAGGAGGGAATTGCCTTCATTTTACAAAGATGGATTTTTATCTAGTTTCATTTGTTCTTTTCCACATTTGACTCCTTGAAGTTTTTAATTTATTCAATTTGCCCTACTGAAGAAGTGATTTTTGAAAGATTATCTAAGAAAATGTTTTTGAGAGAATTTTAGAGCACTTAATAGATGAAGAAATGGTAAGAGAAACTGTTGCGAGTTACCTGAAAGAAACAGGATGAGAACTCAGACGTAAGGAGACGCAGGAGGGCAGCGCGAGCCCCGTGAATGCAGACCGGACAGCCGTGTGCTTGTTGCTTTTACTTAGGTATTTCATCTTCACGTCGTTCTGGGCCTATAAGATCTACTATGTCTATGGCTTCATGATGCTGGTGCTGGTCATCCTGTGCATCGTCACTGTCTGTGTGACCATCGTGTGCACGTATTTCCTGCTAAATGCAGAGGATTACAGGTGGTAAGTACCCATCTGTGGGAAGGAGTTTGGAGGACCCTAGTATTTTATTTTGTTTTATATTATTATATGCTGTGATATTTTATTTCATTTATTTTTTGAGTTGGGGTCTCACTCCATCACCCAGGCTGGAGTGCAGTGGCACGCTCACAGCCACCATAGCTCCCACCTGCTGGACTCAGGGGATCCTTCCGCCTCAGTCTTCCAAGTAGCTGGAACTACAGGCATGCGCCATCACGCCCTGCTAATTTTTTGATTCATTGTAGAGGCAAGGTCTCACCAAGTTGCCCAGGCTGGTCTCGAATCCCTGGCCTCAGGCAGTCCTCTCACCTCCGCCTCCCAAAGTGCTAGGATTACAGGCGTGAGCCATCATGCCTGACTAGGGGACCCTAGTATTTTATTTTATTTTATTGTTTTAAGTTGGAGTCTCACTCTGTTGCCCAGACGGGAGTGCCATGGTCGCTCCTGGCCACCGCAGCCTTGACCTGCTGGGCTCCAGCAATCCTTCCACCTCAGCCTTCCAAGTAGCTAGAACTACAGGCGCACACTACCACACCCGGCTAGTTTTTGATTTATTGTAGAGGTGAGGTCTCACCAAGTTGCCCAGGTGGGTCTCGAACCCGCGGGCTCAGGCAATCCACTCACCTCAGCCTCCCAAAGGCGTGGGATTACAGGCTGAGTAAAATAAGTTTTCCTTTGAGAGTAATTGGTACTTGAAATATACAGGGTTTTCTTCAGTTATAAAATTGATGAAGATTTTAGAGGATCAAATTTTTTACATTAATTAATTAATGAGGGGTACTGCATGTTAAGAATACTTGATGTGGAAAGAGCTTTATGAGGAAGCATCGCTCCATTTTGAACACAAGGACAGTTTGGTCTGAAAAAGGAAATAGTGTATTTAAGTTTACTTAGAATAGAGAGTCTGACAGAATTCAGGATCTTCCCTGCCAGGTCTTAGGCTGTCTCCTTGTTGATGTATTTAAGCCCATGTACATGCATTGTTTTTTAAGTATACAGAATTCTAAAGACGTTTTCATAAAATTCTTTGCTTTAAAATCTTTGTTTCAGTGCCACTCATTCAAGTACTGTCTTTTCTTTTTCTTGGTCCCAGGCAATGGACGAGTTTTCTCTCTGCTGCATCAACTGCAATCTATGTTTACATGTATTCCTTTTACTACTATTTTTTCAAAACGAAGTAAGTGGAGACATGTTCTCATTTTGTATTTAGGAAACTAAGTTTGTCCTTTAAGTACTAAAATGTAAGGCCTTGTGTTGAAAATACAAATGAACCTATAATATGTATTGTTTTATTTCAGGATGTATGGCTTATTTCAAACATCATTTTACTTTGGATATATGGCGGTATTTAGCACAGCCTTGGGGATAATGTGTGGTAAGTTCTAGAACTCCTTAAACATTATGAGTACATCTGAGTTCCTCAGAATCAGGAAAAAAACAGTGATTGGAAATTAAGAAGCTGTGCTCTGTTTGATTAGGAACCCCAAAGTAAACCTGAGTCTGATTTCAGTCCGTTTGAGTCTTCCCCCAAATTTAATTTGCTGCCTCCTTAATGTACACCGATTCTAGTTATGTAGCACAGAATTTCCTACCACAGTTGCTTTCGCATTCATTTAGGAATTGCCTTTTTTTTTTAAGAGGCATGGTCTTTCTATGTTGCCCAGGCTAGAGTGCATTGGCTCTTCACAGGCATGATCATTGTGCACAATAGCCTTGAACTTTTGGACTCAGGCGATGCTCCCACCTCAGCCTCTCAAGTAGCCGGGACCATGCACCATGACGCCCAACTTGAGAATTGGTATTTTTAAAGTTTAGGTTTGACGGCGATCAAGATGTTGGCAGGTTAAGGTGTTGCTGGGATGATTTCTGTTTGGAAGTGTGTCAGCCTGTTCATGGAGGTGCCAGAGTCCAGGAGACAGCACAGTTATTGGTTGTGAAAACATACCTAGGTATCTGCAGACTGGGCCCAGGCTCTGGCTGTGCCACATACATGTTTTCCGCCTTGGTCCAGTTCCAAGCTCTCTAATCCTCTGCAAATGCGGACAATACCACTGCTTCATGGGTCCATCACACCTGCCTATGAGAGGGAAGAGGTCATAGTTGCCACCCTGTGCTCAAGTCCCCGGAATGTGTGGAATGGCCAGCAAGTAAAGAGTGGACACAGTGTAATGTGTGGAAAGGGCGTGGTGAAGGCCCGGAGGCCCTGGGTTTGGCCTTTGCTGCTGCTCACCTTGTTTGTGGCCTTGTAACTCAAGTTAGGCACGCTCAGTCTCGTTCTCCCCTGTGAAACAGGTGCCTGTTGAGAGTAGGTGAGAGGAGTACTGTGGAAAGCAGCCAGTGAAGTGCCAGGACCGTTACCGGTTGCATAGGAGAGACATGGTGGGAAGCGGAATAAGCTGGGACTTCCGGGGTCTGTCTGTCCTGGGCGTGAATCCTGGTAGCCCCTCTTAGTAGCCATGTTACTGTGGCCAACTTACTTTACTTTTCTTCCCCAACATTCCCCATTTGCAAAATAGAAGCCATCCCACCTCCCAGGGTTGTGAGAGGGCCCTGTGCTGGCTTGTGGGCAGACACCAGATGGGTGGCAGGTGCTATCACTGTGAGGCCAGAGGTCCTTGGGCTTCCTTCTGCTCTGGGAACGTCTCTGCTTCTGTGTAGTATCCGTGGGCTTCTACCTTGTGTTTTCACCTCAGAGCACACTCACAACACTGAATCCAGTGGAGGAACCCTTGGGGAAACTTGCACAGGTCGCACACTTTTTTTCTGACTCAGTGTTGCACTCAAGAAATGAGCCTGATTCCTTGATTATTTCATAGGAAGGACTCATCACTGGAGGCATTTCCAGGAGCAGATAATTCACACCCTCCTCCTCCTCTGTGGTTGGCCATTGGCTTTTCTTTCTGTATTTGATATTCCACCTGTAGCTGTAGGGTGAGCACTGGAATAAGGAAGGCATGATAATCTTGTTAAAAACTGTGTACTGGTATGTCCTTTGGGGTACCAAGATTGCTTGGTTTCTCCATGAAGAGTCGGTTCAGTTCTTGTACACCATGTATGTGATCGTGTGTGCACACACAAACAGGGGTGGGGTGGGGCTGGAAAGCGGTACGGGGATAGCCGTTCCCTGTGATAATTAATTGGCTAACCAGATTGCAGGGGAAGATGACTGGGGCCTGAGGGCTGAAACTAGACTGGGTCACATGGGACCAGGCCTGGGTATTCTAGGCTGTCAGGGGATTCCCTAGGTATTGGCCATCCTTTCTTCAGAATATTGCTTTCTGGACTCCTCTTTATCTGAGATCTTCCTTGATTATCACCAGTATTCAATGAGGTGTGTAGAATTAGGTAATTATGCAGAGGGTGACACTTTTTTTCTTGACTTGACTTTTTTCTGTAAATGATCTTAGGAAGACCTAGAGAGGTAACGTCTTGACATTTATAAAGAAAATGGAGTGGCTCTAGCTAAATGTTTCGAGGGCTTTTTCTGTGGAAATTTCATCTTGCTGCCCGAAAATCTTGGCGCGTTTGCAGTTCCCTGCTGTTCTGGCAGGACCCAGCATTTATTCTTTGCTGGGTTTAAATGCCTCAGTGCTTCATTTTGGGGCAGGAAAAGCTGTTGCGACTGGAGCTGACGAGAACATCACCATCATACACCATTCTCCGTGCCCACCAGGTCATGTTGCTAAAATGCTTAAGTCAGTAACTAAAAGAAAAACACTTGACTTTTTAAATGTAGAAAAAGAAGACTATGTAAAGGTGGCATATTATGATCATAGCATTTTTGTTTTAAGGAAATAAGCTAAAAGTGCAGCTCTACTATTCCTAAGATATTTACTTTTCTAGAGAGCACACTCACTATCCTCTTTATATAAAGTCATATTTTTGTAAGTTTATTCTTAAGGTACTCATAAGATGAGGAAAAATGTTTCTCTAGGTTGATACTGTCTTGATTTTAAGCATATCTCTGCTCCAAAGGGAACAATATTTTGTAGGTCTGGAAAATTGGATTTGGTTATTGGACTGTGTTATGCTAGTTAAATTTTTTATGCTTATTAAAATTTTATAATCTTTTTATGTTTTAAGAATCCAGGATTCTTTTTATAAAATTGAGTGAGTTTTGACTTACCCTGTAAGGAATTATACTGTAATTATTTAAAAATGTGTTATCTGTATTTTAATGTGTAATATCATTATTTCATATTATAAAAGGAATGTCTAAATTTATTTTGTATTGCAAAAATAAATGGAAAATAGTTTTGTCTTGTCATTTTGGTGGGCTTATTTTATATTTTTAATATTTAATAATGGGAAACGTCCAAATCTCTACAGAAATAGGGACAATAATGTATATAGTGAGTCTCCATGTGTCCGACACTAGGATCGACTTTTATCAACTCGTGGCCTGCCTTGTTTTATCTCTCTTCCCACTTTGCTCCTCTTTTATTCGGACATGAATCTTAGCCCTTACGTCATTTGAACTATAAACATTTCAGTATAAATCTCTCTCTAAATATAGAAGTATAGTTCCTTCATATGATGACCTATTCAGTAACCCCACCTTTGACGACTTCTCTTTTAATACAGTTTTTTTGTCTTGATCCAATTAAGGTCCATTCGTCGCTTGGTTAAAATGTCTGTTAAGGCCCTTTTAATCTATAGATGTTTGCTTTCTCTTCCCTGGCAATTTATTTTAAAAACTAGTCCTGTAGAGTCTTCTACACTCTGGGTTTTGCCGATTGTACCCCTGAGGCATCATTTCGTGTTTTTCCATGTGTTATCCTCACCCCACTCCTCCCCACAGTTTTCGTAAAGGGGTAGTTGGATCTATAGGCTTCATTGTAGTCAAGAATACGTGCCCAAGAATACTTAACAGGTTGTCTGTCAGCTTTTATCAGGGCACATAATGTCTGGTTCTCTTTCTTTGTGAGGTTAGCAGCCATTGATAATTATTGCCTAGCTCAGATAATTCACTAGTGGTTATAAAATTTTAATCCTACTGTTCTTTTTGTATTTGTTAGCTGGAATGCTCCTGTGCTTCTATGCTTCTAGTCAACCATTTGGTCACCTTGGGACACAGTTTATAGATAGGAAAGACAGGTTAGAGGCTTGTTTCTTTCCTTTCCTTCACCAGTTGGGTGAATAAAAGTTGGTTCAAAGGTGACAGGGATTTGTGTATGTGTACCATTAATAACTCTTCTGGAAGGTTTACTTTTAAACTTTGAATAATATTGGGCTGTGTGGTAAATTTCTAAGTCCAGCGGAAAATTTTCTGTCAGTTCAATGACCCGCTGTTTTGTTCTAAAGAGCCCTCAGTATCTGTACTAAAGAACTTGGCTGGGCACAGTGGCTTATACCTGTAACCCCAACACTTTGAGAGGCAGAGTTGAGAGGATTGCCTGAGTCCAGGAGTTCAAGACCAGCCTGAGCAATATGGTGAGACCTTGCCTCTACAATAAATCAAAAAATTAGCTGGGTGTGGTGGCGTGTGCTTGTGGTTCCAGCTACTTGGAAGGCTGAGGCAGAAGGATCGCCTGAGCCCTGCAGGTCGAGGCTGTGGTGTCTGTGAGCATGCCACTGCACTCCAGCCTGACTGACAGAGTGAAATTCTGACTCAGAAAAACAAAAACAAAAGAACTACCCAGTACATTCATTCATTCAACAAATATTTATTGGGTACCTTATCACATGCCACTCTTTTAGATACAGGAGGTGGATGCTTTATTTAACAAAACAACATCTCTGCTTTCTGGAGTTTGGAGCCTCATTTGGAGCTAATGATTCAAAAACAGCATTTCAAAACTCTTGATCTGCTTACTGGGCTCTCTTGTCTATTCCCTCAAATACATCATTCTTTCTACCAATCACATGGCTTTTGTGCTTAAACATGGAAAAGAGCCAGCAGAATATGCCTCATCTCTAGAACATCAGATGCTGTTGGACCGTGATGCTCTGTGCTTTCTGAGAGAATCCCATCACTTCTTATTTATTGTTAGGTTTGGGGAACATGTGTTGATATTGCTTTAATGACTTAGATTAATACATGCTGAAATCAAAGAAGATAGGTTTTTTCATTTAACAAATGTTTGCCATTATCAGATTATTCGTGCTTTCTAAGAGATGTATTTTCATTCCATAGTTACTGGTAATGCAAGAAATAATTGTTACCTGATTCTAAAAAATTGCATCAGCTCAGACTTAGTGTATGATGGTAGCAGGAGATTTGCAAAGCAAATGATACAATGTTCATAGGTTCAGAGAGAATAAAGACTTTGTCTTGAAAAAGAAAACTTTCCAGAGCAGAGAGCATTTAGTGTTTGTAAATGATGCCTACTGATCTATACATATTTGTTTTAAGACATCTTATTTTATCTTTGCAGGAGCAATTGGTTACATGGGAACAAGTGCCTTTGTCCGAAAAATCTATACTAATGTGAAAATTGACTAGAGACCCAAGAAAACCTGGAACTTTGGATCAATTTCTTTTTCATAGGGGTGGAACTTGGACAGCAAAAAAAAAACTGCGAGAAGAGATTTGGGCTTTAACACTGGGTACTTTGTGGGTCTCTCTTTCGTGGATGGCTTAAAGTAACATCTATTTCCATTGATCCTAGGTTCTTACTGACTGCTTTCTCCAACTGTTCACAGCAAATGCTTGGATTTTATGCAGTAGGCATTACTACAACACATGGCTAATCTTCCCAAAAACTAGCTCATTAAAGATGAAATAGACCAGCTCTCTTCAGTGAAGAGGACAAATAGTTTATTTAAAGCATTTGTTCCAATAAAATAAATAGAGGGAAACTTGGATGCTAAAATTACACGATAGAAATCTTCCTGGCATTTAGTGTTTCTACGTTACTGAAAAATGATGTTCCAGAGAGATTACTTTTTTCTCTTATTTTTACTGCCATCGTCGACCTATTGTGGGACATTTTTATATATTGAATCTGGGTTTTTTGACTTTTTTTTTTCCAATCCAACTGCATCCTTTTTTTTTTTTAAAGAGAGAATTAGAAAATATTAAATCCTGCATGTAATATATCTGCTGTCATCTTAGTTGGACCAGCTTCCCATTTATTTATCTGAAACTATCCAGTTACATCTTAATTCCATCCAAAGAAGATACAGTTTGAAAATAGAGGTGTACTATCTACAATGCAATTTACTGTACAGTTAGAAAGCAACGTGTTAAATGGAGAAGATACTTGTTTTTATTAAACATTCTGAGATTTAGATAAACTACATTTTAACTGAATGTCTAAAGTGATTATCTTTTTTTCCCCCCAAGTTAGTCTTACATCCTTTTTGGGTTTGAATGAAGGCTTTACATAAGAAATTATTAAAAACAAGGGGGGTGGGTGATAAATGTATATAACATTAAATAATGTAACGTAGGTGTAGATCCCAGATGCATTTGGATGTACAGATTGACTATGGAGTACTTCTTGCTGATGATGATTGGTGTAGAAATGTGTGACTTTGGGTGGCTTTTGACATCTTGCCTACCATTGCATGAAACATTGGGGTTTCCTCAAAATGTGTGTCATACTTCTTTTGGGAGGGGGGTTGTTTTCTTCTGTTTATTTTCTGAGACTCCTACAGGAGCTGAATTTGTAATTTAGAAACATTTAATTTTGTTAATCCTGTCTGGGACACTTAAGTAACATCTAAAGCATTATTGCTTTAGAGTGTTCAAATAAAATTTACTGACCAAATTGTTTTGTGGAAATAGATGTGTTTGCAATTTGAAGACACCTATTTAAAAGGCAATGTACTGAATGCCATTTTCAAAAGGTACTGCCAACTACGCTTTTCTAACACACGGGACCCTCATTTACACTCCCCAAACGTGCTTACATCTCGATTGCCCTGTACAGTCACAGAGGGAGTGACAAGCCTTGAATGAAGTTGTGGCACAAACAGCTCAGGCTGGTGGTCTGTGTACAGTGGGGAAGGGTAGCATGGTCAGCTTACAACTGGCTGAGCGAATAAAGGCTAGTTTTCTAAGAGAAGTTATTTTAATTTTGAATACATTTTTCTGGAACTATTCATAATGTGAAGTTTTCCTCGAACCATTGACTTTCTAGTTTAATAGTTTGCTATGCAAATGACTGCCTGAAACAATACTGTATATTGGTATTTTTAGAAGGACTCAAAACAGCTGTATTTAAACCTTAATGTGAAACTCATGCCATTAATAGTAAAATAAGATGTTTACATTATGAAAATCATTACAAAATGTTTCTAAAAATGGACAGACTCCACATCCTATACTGTGGAGTGTAAGTCCTATATAAAAAATGAAAAGTAAGATTTTTTTTAACCACTTGAGTATGATGGATGTGAGCAGACAGAAATTTGATCAGAACCTGGAGGTGAATCCCCCTTTCAAGCCAAAGTGTTATGCTAAATGTAACCCATTGGTTCTTCCATTTTCTCTTCCTTCTCACTTGCCTTTAAGATCTTATTTAAAAAGTCATTATTTAGTTGCTTATATTATATAACTTTGTAGCTACATGCAAAGTACTTTTTTTGTTCTCTTACCACTTTTATTCAAAAGTACTTTTAACATAACACATAGTCTATCTGATAGGAATGTAAATTGGACAGGAAGCTTTTGTCTTAATAAAATGAAATTTTCTCATGATACGAATCTTGCAGGTAAGATGTAAAGTGTTTAAAATGTGTGGGTGAACCATTTAAAATACTTTCAGGTGTACAAAATCATTTTACTAAATCCTCTATTTGAGTTATTTGGAATCTGCAGTGAAAAATAGTTTTCTAATTTCTGGATACATTAAGAGCATTCATATGAATATATATCATCTTAAAACATTCTCTAGAAAAGGTCTTGTATTGGTTTATGGCTTCACAGAGGGGCTGGACAAATAGGTGGGACTTTTAGAAGATGTACATCACTATAGCTCCCTGGCTCTTGGTTGTAGAATAGAAAGTATAGAATAATATTTAAGTTAATTGAAGGATTTTTCCACTCCATTAATGCTGTGTTTCTTTCATTTGTTAACATTATTTGTTCAACTTATCAGTTGACACTCTGAGTACTATCAAATACTAAGGATAAAATTTCCTTGTACGTCTTTAAGCATGCTTCTCCTAAAATCTTAACTACATCATTATCCATATATCCTAGAACACAGGCAGGATACGGTGGAAATGTAATGGCTAGAGGTATGGTAACACGTTCTTTACTATATCGTGTATATCGTGTTGGGCTCCTGGATTGTACTGAGTTTGCCCATAAGTCAAACCCGATACTCCTGGAATCCATTCTGTTGTGATATCTGAACCTAGTGAAGTGGGTATGCTTGGATGTTTTCCACGGAATGTAGACGGACCTCTTTATAAAGTTGGATGAACTGCAAATTCTAGTTCTTCCAAAAGTCATTTTATTTAGGGTTTATTCACAAATTGTATTCATTTTGTGATGTAACTTTTGTTTCCTAAATGTTTACTAACCACCTTATGCCAAGTGTCTGCAAATAAACATTATTAAACACTTGCTGAATTTTTACGAATGTGAAAAAGAAAGAATATGCATGTAATTTGTTTAGGAAAAGCTACATCCCGGAGGGCTTCCATGGGGGTTCTGGGGGAGCCTCTTTGTGGTCTGTACACTCAGTTCCACCCGGGCTGTAAGTTTAGAGTTGTCTGTCTTAGTGCTTCATTCTGTTGATTTATTAGAACATGTAATAAACAGGAGTGGTGATGTTTGAAGACACAGTATTCACTAGTATTTTATATATTCTTCAAAGGTATATAGTTAGGAAGAGATATTTCAACAATCAAGGTGTGAGAGAGAAGTGGAAATCAATGAAAGTTGGAAGTGTGTCTCGAAACAGACTAGACTTTCAGGTAGGGTGGAACAGAAAGCATATGCACCTGCAGATGTGTAATCCGAGGAGCAACCAGTTCCCTCCTGTGAGCACTTCCAAAAGCTGTCTGATCTCACATGCCTGTTGGAGCTATAGACACAAGTCTGCAAATACAAAATAAACAAAATTAAGATTTGTTTCACTGTTAGGAAATGGAAATAAACTTGTAAAATCTTATTTCAAAGTTTTGGTGAATGAGCCTTGCTAATAATTGAGAGCATAGCGAGGGGGTCCCCTCCAGTTCATCAGTTGAGGTCACTGGAAACTTACAGATGTTCTAAGTGAGAGCTTAAGGCAAGGAAGGAGTAACATGGCATTCTGAAGGACACAGGACATCCCTGGGAAAACAGTTCCGTTGGTCTTTTCAACTGTCAGGCTTGAATCGCAGGTCCCTGCTGAGCATGGGCATCGGTGGCAGAGCCGGGAGGACACCGATTGCCTGGCGGGCCCTTCCACCCTGGACCCAACCTTGGTTTTCGTAGGCTGTTTTCCAACGGGCTTTTTAGTCATAGAAATCCAGTGTGTAATGTGTCAAATGCAATTGAGGTTCTCATCTAAATTTATCTGAAGTTGGATTTTGAAAAAGTAATAAAAAGTTCAATGTGCCTCCCTCGGATGCCTTCTTCCTTTCCTTTTTGAAACAAATGAGCCAAGCACAAGGGGATAGCTGTTGGCGTGCATATGGAGAGACGCCTGATAGCTTCCCACAATTAAAACAGGGCCCTGCAGGCTTTACTGTAGAGGGCTGGACAGTAGATACTTTGGGCTTCGAGGGCCATGCGGTCTCTGTTGAAGTTAGCAAAGCAGCCATAGTAGACAGTCGGTAACTAAGCATGACTGTTCTGGATAACTGAAAACGGCCAGCAGGCCACATTTTGCTGACCTCTGAAATGAAGCGTTTAAAATGTAAGATTGGATCCTCCCCATTTACATTTTGAAAAAAAAAAAAAAAGTAGTGTGCAGGAAAGTTGAGAGAAGGCTACGATGCATAGGTTTGTCTTTTTAAAACATGGTTCTTCGCTTGGCCATTTTCTGACTCATTCTGTATACCAACTACCAAACCCCACCGTTCCTACACCTGCCTTTCTGGTTGATGGCACACTGCATTTGTCAAGTACTTTTCAAAGCTGTCTCACATATGTTCTGTCACAACCATCCTGCAAGACTGTAAAACGTGTAACCCCATCTTGTAGGTACCAGGGTAGCCAAAGGGGCTCCTATTTTTAGCCCAGGAAGAATCAAGTTCATGGCCCTGTTGAGTGAGACTTGTAACCGCAAAATGGGGGTGTCATCCCCCCAGGCGGGGGCAGATAATGTAGAAGTCACGTTGAGCGTCAGAGTCTGCATAAATGGAAGGGATCGCTTTTACTGTGCCACCTTGAAATCGGTGGTTGGTTCCTCCAGGTCTGTTTGTACCTTTTCGTCTCCAAGCTAGTTTTTAAAAATCCTTATCAGCCATCCTTGGTGCTTTCCTCCCCCTGGTTTTATTAGCTGCCTCAGTCAACACCTATGCTTGGCAATTCCTATTAGCTAAATAGTTGATGCAGCTTCAGATCACTTCTGATCCCTTTCGTGAGTGATTCTACGAAGCTGCTCATCGACCATCGGCATTAAAAATGATCTATGCTGGGACATTCCTGGCCAATGTTAATGCAGTCTCCAAATGTATTTATTCATAACTGATTATTTAAAATGACTTTTATAGGGTCATGCTTAAGGCGACAAGATTTTTTTTTTTTTTTGAGTCGGAGTCACTCTGTCGCCCAGACTGGAGTGCAGTGGCCGCTCCCGGCCACCGCAGCCTCGACCTGCTGGGCTCCGGCGATCCTTCCGCCTCAGCCTTCCGAGTAGCCGGAATTACAGGCGTGCACTACCACGCCCAGCTGATTTTTTGATTTATTGTAGAGATGAGGTCTCGCTGCCCAGGCAGGTCTCAAACCTGCGGGCTCAGGCAATCCACTCACCTCAGCCTCCCAAAGGCACGGGATTACAGGCTGAGCCACCGAGCCCGGCTGCAGCAAGATTTTTAAACGAAAAAGAATGGGGGATACAGTCCTAGGGAGAAGTTGGTGGATGACATGTAACTGGCCAGTGTTATGGTTATTCTTAGTGGCTCAGTCTAAGCCACTAGGATTACAAGGCTTAGTCTGGAAGGTTAGTGAAGGGAAGGGTGGGTCTAAAGAGGGATGTGACAGGTGGGGTTCAGGTTGGAGTTGGTCAGGGAGGTCTGAGGTTCTAGACCAGTAGGCAGGGCAGGCCCAAGCAGGTCAGTGTCATAGGCAAGGCAGCTGCTGTGACATGCTGGCATGAGGACGCCATACGTGGTTATCAGGGTGTCCCTGTGGAGGTGTGGAGCAGCCAGGCCCTACGAGGGGCCCCGGGGCATTCAGCAAGAGCTGGAGGTAAGAGGTGGCAAGATCCAGGGCCAGCAGGTGACGGGAAGGGTTGGCGGTGGCTGAGGGCCTGCCAGCCACCCAACTGCTTGGACAAAGGTGGTGGACAGCCAGCAAGGCTCTGAAGCAGCTGCTAAGAATTATGACAATATTCAACACCTTTAATTGCCTTCTCCAGAGAATTCAAGTGTCTTCTCGGGCTCAGAATGTAATGTAAAGGAAAGAGTGAACTGGCTGGCATGTTCCCCCTGCACTCTGGAGGTACAGCGCCCTGCCCTGGGGGGGTGGGGGTGGAGGAAGCAGGTCTGAGAGTGGCTGGAGAACCCAGTTACTGGGGTGTAGGGTGTCGACGGGGTGAGTCAGTGGGGGCAGCCACCTGTTGGGAGAAAAGCTTGTGGCCATGGGCAGGAGCTGTGCAGCAGGAAACCCACAAACAATCGGAAGTGCAGTAACGGGACTGAGTTGAGAGTTCTAGGTCATAACGCCTTTTCTAAGCTTGTCTCCAGTTTTTCTCGTGGAATTTAAATTGAAGAAGAAGATTTTTCTAAACATTATCTGAATCCAGCTTAACAGCTTTTTATTTCCAGTGGTGAATGGAATCAGGAACGACAGAACTGATGAGAAAATACATTAACTCTCCCATTCAAATCTTTCCTCTCTAAACCTTCCATTGGAACCCAAATATTTGGCGGTTGGTTGGTTGGTTGGTAGCCAGGGTGCATCAAAACTGACCTGACCGGGCAGTGCCACTGGCTTCAGAATATGGGGCAAAGGGTGTTGGAGACAAGACCTGGCAGCTGCTCCCCGGTTGGGGATCAGAGGCAGTAAAAAGCTCACAACCTCAGTGCTCGCGCGAGAGGTGGCTTCTCTTCTCTTTCCAGAAGAATCCCTGTTAACCAGGAAGCTCTGTTCACCTAGTGCCATCTGGAGACCTGGGAGTGTCACAGGAGCTTGTTAGGCCTTTTAGATGTTGACCCTGTGGCCTTGTCTGCCGACAGGTGGTGACCTTGGCTGGGGTGATGGCATAGGGTTTGTCTCCTCGCGGGCAGCACGCGGGCAGAAAGGCTGTTCAACCCCCACCGCACCCACTGCCTGATTAGTGGCCACGTGGCCTGCCCTGCCATTTGGTGGCCTCGTTCCTGCAAAAGGCCCTCCTCCCGCCCGCCAATTTCAAGCCAGAGTTCGCCCAGTCTGGCCCCATCCTGCGTGTGCCCATTCGATGAAAGCTCAGCGCAGAGCGGGGTCAACTCTGCATTACCTTCTAAGCGCAGGACAAAATATCCAGCGCTTCCCTTTTAGCCCTGTGCTGGCTTGAAGAGCTTTAATGAATAGGTGTGAAGACAGATGACCGCCGTGTAAGAAATGACAAGTCCCATGCAAAGCCCAGCTCTGGGCTCCCTGGTGGCTGTTCCGTCGTCCATGGGGGGAAACCACGTGGCCAACCAAAAGGGAGGTTCATTCCATCGTTCTCCTTCCGTTTGAAAACAAAACAAGCAAAGCCCCACATTCTGGGGCGGTGCAAGAACTCTCCACACACACGTGCATGTGCTGTATTTCTTGAGGGGGGCAATTGTGCGTGCACACAAATCTTCGCGAAGCCTGAGAAGACTTTTTACGTCCCTGAAACAAAGTGGCTCGGTTCTGGCCACTGGAGACACAAAACAGGTGCGTTTCAAACGGCCTCCGATTGCCCGAAACCCTCTGGGCATCTGCTTTCAGTGGCAACAGTAAAAGTAGCCAGACGTGCCTCAGGTTAGCGGTGAG